CGACGTGTTGGTTCCTCTTGATGTCCAGTTTGTGTTCGGGATTCCTCATAATCCAGTGAGCTCTCAGCATTTCACCCCCTCTGACCAGCGCCTCTCTCTGGCCATGATGACCTACATCTCAAGCTTCGTTCGCACCGGGTGAGCCACTTGTTAGTAGGGCTGTCTTGTCAACTGACAGGTCACTCGACTACTAGCTACTTGTGAGGTAGAAACACAAGTGGCCACCAACCTGGCCTGTATATCTGATACCCAGGTGGTAAAACCTGTTTCAGCAGCATTCTGACCCAGCTGCAGGTTAAACCGGACTTGCACTCACTAGCCTTGGCCAGTAACATTAATGCAACGTTCAGCGTCCCACTTCATCAAACCTCATTTCTAGAATAATCAGGCCAAACTGAAGCTGTTCCAGTGGGTCAACACTTGTCACAGACTGAAGCTTGTTTTTTTTCTCAGGAACCCAAATCCTTCTCGTTTGTGGGCGGAGTCAGTTTTACCACACTGGCAGCCTGTCCTGTCCTCTGAGACCCCTCCCACCTACCTGCAGCTAAGCCCCACCCTCCTCCACCAGCAGGGTCTGAGTGAGAGTGCCTGCTCCTTCTGGAGGCAACTGGGAACCAAACTGAGCAAGCTGGCAGGTGAGTGAGTCAAGTCCACTCTACTGGACTCAACTGTTCTACTCTGTCTACTCCACTTCAGTCTACCAGTTCACTTGACTGTGCTTCAGACCACTTCAAGGATAAGCTCACTTTATTTTAATCTGCATTTCCCGTATCACCTTCTCTGTGGTACACATTCAGGGAACAAGAAGTTGTTACCGGGGCAAGGGTTTAGCCTCTGAAAGAGTTCAGAATAAATGTAATGTCAGTCAAATGGTTTGTCGTGCTTCTCTGAGTCAAAGATTAGGCTTGGGCTGCAGGCTGAGGCTACCTACCCAGGCCTAATCTTTGCTTTCCTTCTGACTCAGAGAAGCATGACATTACATTTATTCTGAACTCTCTCAGAAGCTAACCTTTTGTTTTCCTGAATCTCTACAATTAAAGTAATGATA